GGCGTCCGGCGGGACGGGCCGCTGCGATAAGGCTGTCCTAAAGCTGCTGATACCGTGTAAGGAGGAAAGAGTTACGGTGACGTGGCTTTCCGAGGGCTCCCTCCCTGTGTACAGCCTGGCATAGCGGGATGGAGCAGCAGGCCGCAGGGAAGGGGCAAGGTGAGGGGCTTAGAAACAGAGTTTTGGTACACAAAATGGCTATTCCCATCTTGCTGTGTCGTGGCTCGTGTGGGTTTTAAGGGGGCAGGTGTTTGCTACAGGGGAGAAAATGATCCTAAAGGATCTTTAGGGAGTGTAGGGGAAGGGTCAGCAGAATATATATGAATAATACACCTATGTGACAAGCAGCTATTAAAACTTCAGCAGCTTTGCATTAATTCTGTCCACAGTCTGCCTTCCCAAGGTTTTCTTCAAATTTCCAACTAGCTGAGCAAGGTCTATTGCTACGTAATCACTTCGTAACAGTTTTGTGTCTGTTTTTTATTTCTGTCTAAGCTTCAGAGGCTTCAAAAGTAAGCACACAGACAGTGACAGGATGGTCTGCTCAGGAGTCTCTGAACTCAGTGTTATTCAGTGAGTATTGGAGATCTGAAATCAAGTCGTCCTACCAACATCTGCCAACAGACACCTGAAGGCTTTTGGTTACTGGCAGTTGTGTGTGGTTATGGATAGAGAAGGCCGTTTCTGGAGACTTGCTTTTTTAAAAAATCGTGCTCTGCTGTGTATGGTTACATCGCTTGTAAGAGGAAACTTGTCTGTGTATAGGCAGAACCAAGCAGCTTAAGTTGTTGCTATAGTATTTGCCTGGTAAGGTGTATGTATTTCAGAGTGAGTGCCACATTCCCATCCATCTCTTACTGCTCATGATGAAGCCTCCTGGTTCTCTGGTTGCCGGCTATTAGGTCAACTGACCCCACGGTCCCTTCCAAATCTTACTTTTATGACAGAGGACTTGTCTAAGGAGGTGGTGAAGCGTTGAATCCCATGCTTGAGTCTTAGTCTGGCTTTGCTGCTGAAGCCGGTACCCAGGTAGGACTGCTCGTGGAAGTTGTATTTTACTGGGACTGTAAATCAAAAATAAAATAAAGTTCTGTACTACTTTGAAAAGCTACAAAGGAGAAACAGTAATCTATGCAATTCTTGCTTTCCTTCTTATTGTTCAGGTATGCTGTGGCCTCCCAAGGTGCTGGGCCTGGTGTAAGTGCTGTAACCTCTCTGTTAGGTGCATACTTCTTTCTGTGTCTAAGTTTGTGGGGGAAAAATTAGTTCAAGGTGGTGTCGCTCCTTCTGCACTGGATGGCCTGCTTCAGTCCCCTGGATCAGGCCACTGAACGTAGGAGGCTGGTAGTTAATCCTGGCTGGGCTCAGTACAGTTCCTGCCGGTGAGCTAAGTTTTGTGTGTGTGATACCCCAGCGCTAACAGTGGCACCCTCTGTTTTGGAGGAATCCGCTGGCCCTGCCAGCTGGCTGCTGAGGGGCGGCTGAGGTCTCGCTTGGGCCCGGCCACGTGCCTCTGCCCCATTGTCAAGGCTGGCGGTTTGGGGAACCGGCTGTTTGTTGAGGGTGAACAATGCCCTGTCTGTAGGGGATGGCGTTACCGTAAATAACGTTAGAATAGCATGAAAAATCCCTTTCAGGTCAACTCCCCCACAAGCGTTCTGGCTCGGCTATTAGCAGCTTCTCTCGCCCCCGCACACCCTGAATGGGCTGAATGGGCAGTGTATTGGGTAATGCTATTCAGTTTTGATGAAAGCAGATAGCAGAGCTTTTACTGTCCAGAATCCTGTTCATGAGCAGACTATTGCTAGAGCTGCAAAGGGCAAAAATGGATCAAGCTGCATAATACCCTCGAGCTAAAGATTAGCTCCGGTGTCTACAAAGACCTAAGGGAATAGTGCTCAAAATAATAGGGACGTTTGAGAGCTTTCTTTACTGTGTTCTTGGGAGGACTTCTTGGGCTGGAGAACCCGGTGTGCCGATTATATGGTATCATGCTGACAAAGCTAGCATCTTGCTTAATCGGGACACCTCCATTAAATGGTGTGCACCGTATGGCGGCCAAGACATATGCTTTTACGCTGCGTCTGAGTGGTCAGATGCGGACAGTCCTGTACTGCAGCGGGGCCTGCTCACTTGAGCTGAGTGCTTCCAGTAGTCTGGTGACTGCCAGACAGGAGGTGGCTTGTGTCTGGTGGCTTGTGGCAGGGGGATGGCAACACAGCTGCCTGTGCCTGACTGCGCAGGCGCGCTCTTATCACTGCTTGAACGCAGGTAGAGCTCCGAGCAGGAACTGCAGCGCGGGAGGAGAGCAGTGCTCCTCGTTGTTCTCAGACGCTGACAAATACCATATGGTGCAGGGGCAGCTACAACAAATCCCGTAACAGGCAATTGTGGGATAATCTGTGTGTAGGGGAAGCTTGTTCCTGAAGTCTTGCCTGCTATGGTTTATACCCCAAGGCATGAGGATTTATATACTTTATTTTCCCTGCCTAATGCAGAAACTCTCATTATCCATGTGAAGGTCTGCACCTGTTCTGATTCCAGCAGGCTGCCGTCATCAGTGGTATCTCGTGGCAGGGAGTTAATTGGGTGTTCTAGTAAGAATAAAGAAGAGTGTTTCCTTAGAATAATTTTGGGTACAGAGCCCTTTTGTATGGCCTTTGTACAGGGAAACGAGGCTGGTTTTCTGTTATAAGATGGAGCAAAGAGGAATGTCTGACTTACCTTCTCCATACCACAAAGTATTTTGTGTACTTTAGACCTTTAAAATTATTCCTAAGCTTTTTAGTCTCTTCACCTCTAAGCTTTTCAAAGACCCTTAGTAACTTTAGCACCCGTGCTTTTTCAGACATACCTGTCTGAAGGATAGAGTTGAGGGAAACTGGGAAGCATTCCAGTGGAACACACACTGTTGATTTTCACGCCTTCAGTTTTTTTCACCTCTCTCCGTGGTCAGAGTATTTCAACTGGACGGAGCCTTTAACTGAGCACAATGATTCTCAAGTCTGCGTCATGAAATGTGCCCTTTTATTTTACTCTTTGTGGAAGCATTGTTGTAGACATTTGACAGTTTTTGCCTATTCTTAGTAATTTCATAGACTTAGTGCAAAGCAGTCATTATTCTGTCTGTGTAGTCTGAATTGTCCTCTGAAGTGGCCACTTTTATGGATCTTGGCGCCCAAACCTTGTGTAACTCAGGGCCACGCTGATGGTTCATTTCTAGGGGAATAGATGTGCCCTTCTCCATTTTATCTTCTGGGGAATGAGTCCTTTTTGTCCCATAAGGCTTTTCCATATCTCTGTTGCTATGGGAATTTATGACTTTTGCTTGCAAAAAGAAGGCAATGAGTAACAGTTTGGTTCAGCTAGAGTTCCTAAATGTAGTCTATATTGAGAGGATATAGGAGGAAGAGGAATTGGTGTGGTTTTGGGGTTTTTTGGTTGGTTGGTTGATTGTTCTTTGGTGGGTTCTTTTTTGTTTAATCTAAGAGTCAGTAGTTACCTTAGAGGCACTCTGTCAGCTTCTGGAGTGGGGATGAGGAAGACAGAAATTTATATAGTTGTGAGGAAGGAGGGAAACTGTTGACAGGAGAATGCAGCAGCTCCAAAGGGGCTGCTACGAGAACTCTTACTGTGTAACAGAGGCAGTGTGAGCCCGTGGCAGCAAAGCACTGTTCCTCACCCTCGTTGTCTCTTTTACAGATAACTGACTCAGCTGGGCACATCCTGTATGCCAAGGAAGATGCCACTAAGGGCAAGTTTGCCTTCACCACTGAAGACTATGATATGTTTGAGGCCTGCTTTGAGAGCAAGCTTCCTGTGGGTAAGTGAAGTGAAAGCTCTGTTGGCTGCTTCTAGTGTCTGAACAAGTTCATGTAGGTATGTGGATCAGGGGTATGGGTAAAGTGATCCTGAGTGTGGTCCATAGAATACTGTTTGACTTTTAAAGCTGATCTTCAGGTTGTTGTGGGCAGTCTCACAGCAGAATATCTGCTGTCAGTGTTGTATTGGAAGTTAAGTAATCCTCTGTGGCTGTCGTGTAGAGCGCTTGGGTTTCCTCTGAAAGGGGAATCGCGTGTTCGTCCCGCAGAGGTCACTGCAGTTGCAATGAGTGGCAGTACCAGGGAGCAAGCTACACGTCTTTTGCCCTTCTCCCCATCTTGCAGTCGAGCCAGGACAGAGCAGGATGCCATCATCTCCAGGACCCTGTCTTTCTCCCCGGCTGACCGTCTCTCCCCATTTGGTGGAATGTGATCTCTCCACAAGGTGTACTTGGCAGCAATCCTGCGTTGGGTTAGCAACCGTTTTCTGGTGTTGGGGTGTGCATATAGAGAATGTGGCCTTGGTTTGCACCCACTTGCTCTCTAAGTGGTCAATAAAGGGAAGGGGAAATGAGCAGGACGTCAGCCTTGCATTTGTGCTGCAGGGATGGTTGCCTAACGAGCACTGAGGATCGTTTCCTGTGAGTGTGACGCATGTGCTGCTTTGAGTGGCTGGGCTCAACTTCAGGGCAAATGTGTTGAAAACAGCCAGCACGTGGGCTCTAGTCTCATTTGCGGTGGTGCGAACGCATGCAAGTTCATAGGTGCTCACATCTTTTCATGGTCACTGTCAGAGTTCTACTCCTTGGACCTAGTTCTAATTAGGTCTTATCCTAAAAGATGCCAGAGCATTTCACAGAGCAGTCACTAGCAGCATTCCTCAGATCTATTGAAAGGCAGCCTCTGTTCTGCTCCATGTGTAAGATACAAATAGTTTGCAAGTTGAGGAGAACTTTCCAGAGAGAGAATGCTATCTTCTTTGCTGGGGTTGGGAGGATCTGGCTGGTAACACCTCTCTATAGTATTTTATGGATAAGACAGTGACCCTAAATGCTCAGGATTTTGCTTTTATTTCACTCCAAAGGTAGGGCTTCCAAATGCTCCTTAACACATCGAGACATGCAGGCACTAGTGACTCATCTGGGAGTCACTGATGCTATTTACTGTCTAACACCTGGGTATTTGGGAGGTCTCCAGACAGTCCCACAAATCCTTTCATAGCTTCCATGTGATCACACACCAAAGCGGGAAAGGCTTCTTTCTTTAGTTGTGTCTAGACTCTTCTTTCGGTGCTTGTGACCAGTGGTTTCTTGCCTAGACTGAGCCCCTTATAGCTCTCTTGATTGTAGCAAATGTTTGTTCCCCGGCTCCTTTGTATTGTTGCAAGTTTGTTTTAGAGCTTTCACTATTGATGAGGATAAAATATTTCAAAGTGCAGCCTCTACCTGGTGACCAGTGGGGTGTTGAGGTGCCAAAATCTGGAGCTGTTCAATTGAGCAGCTGAATTCTTTTCTGGAGGCTTTCTCTTTGGGGACCTCCAAGCTGCTATTTTCTTTTTGGACCCAGACATCCCAAATTCCTTGCTAAAGAGAGATGCTGCATGATAAGTATCTCCAGATTTCCCATGCCTGTGTTGGAAATCAAGGAAGTATTACAGTAAGGGAGGTGGCACTGCAAGGCTTGATCATCTGTAGGACTTGGTTAAGGTACCGTGGAGGAAGTAACCACGTCACAAAGAAGTGCCTTGTTTTCCTGAGAAGGTCAGCATGGGAATGGGGGAACAGGCCAAGTGCTGTTTTATCCCCGTGTTTCTCTTTAAAGTTGGTTTGGGTGTTTTTTCACAGTCTCATCAAGCAAGTGGTCAGGACTTTTAGTGCAGCAGCCAAGGAGGATGTTGGTGGAGTACTGGAAGAGAAAAACTGTTGGTAGAGGAAGCCCAGAGCCGTTGGGACCTGAGAGGTCTGAGCAACTGGGATTTCTCAATCCCTAGCCACAGAAATGAGGAAGAGGAAGTGAGAAGGAGCTCCGACTTAGGAGGTCCACCTTATCAGGGTAGAGGAGTTTTTAGGGTGCTTCTTGGAGCTATGGGTGTTTGCATGATGGGCTTTTTTCCCCCTTTCGGGGTGGAAGGGTCCAGTCTTCCTGACCAGTGCCCTGTTCCCAAGCACACTTACTCTCATACCGTGTGCTAATCTCTGAGAACAGCCTGGCCTGCACGACATGCTCCCCTGTAGGGCTCTTCCTGTGTGCTAATCTTTACCTCTTTGCCCCTTCTGTAATCCTGCTCTTCCCAAACTTTAAGAGTGTTATGGCTCATTTTTTTCTGCAATTCCTGTCAGAAAATTTTTTGACATCCAGTTCAACCATCCTGTTTTTCCATTGACTTTGCAAATTAGGAGCTCCCCTGATTTCTCAGGAAACAGTTCTGTGCTCATGTGAGATGACCTCTTGAAGACTTCCTCGGGAATGTAGGTATCGGTTTAGTTCAGCTGGGACTTAACTGTCTTTCTCTTTGCTGCTGATCCAGTCTGCTGTGGTGAGCTCTGGCTTCAGAAGGAATAGGGAGTTATTAAGGATCCTATTGAGCTGAATGGAGCTGCCTAGTGCCTGGGGCTCAGTAAACTTATAGAAGAGCAGCTTGAGTTTTTCCAGACCAGCCCCTGACAACATTAAGCTCTTGCAGAATGTCTGTTTTCCATCCCTTTGCACCCAGCAGCTCTAAGTTTTCTACTTTCTTACTGCTTCTTGGCAGATCTCCCTTCCAGCCTGACAAATTAATCCTTCCAGTTCTGTTCTCCTGTTCACTGGCTTTTTCATCTCTCTCATCTCTTCCTGGAAGCTCCAGCTCTCCACCCAAGTTGCTGTATTTTAAACAACATTAAAAAAAAAAAAACAAACAACCCTCACTGAACTGTGTGCTTTGGATTTTCTTCTGCAGCTACTGTTGGCTGTCCTACCTGCCAGTCTCCAGGCACCTTGGTTTATGTATGGCATAAGCAGTCAAAACTTGTGGTCAGAGAAAGGAGCACTGGGTGGTTGTATACAGCCTGTCTGTTAAATAACAGTGCTGGGATTTTAGTTTGTTTTTACAGTAACTGGTCTTTCATGAGAAAACCAAAATTTTCCATCCTGATTTATCCATTGGGCTTTTACATAGCTGGGTTTGAATTTTGAGCTCCCATATCCCTTGGGAAATTTAAGAAACAGTTTGTAGTTGATATGGACCGTCTTGTCAGTAGGTTATTCTATTCTATCTTCTGCTGACAGTGGAAGGTGGAGGTCTTGAAGAGCTGTTCAGTGGGTAGAGAGAAAATTTGGGGATGTTTTATTGGAGATGTGGAGTATCTTCCTAGCTCTGACTGGAGTTACCCAGTGTAACCTGTACATTGAATTTGTTTGTGGACTGAGGGAATATCCACCTAGCAGCCTCCTAAGGCAAAGTGTGAGTATTTGACATGCTCCTGGATAAAGACTCTGAAATTCATAGTATAAATGAATTCAGACCTTGTGTTTTGCTGGCAGCCGGCTGAGGACAACTGTATGCCCCAACATGCTGGGATTTGGGAATGTGTTATGTACAGACATTTCCTTGGTGGGTGGTATAGTGGAATATGATACTCGGGTCAGCTGACATGCTGCATTCTTTAGGGATTTTATATGTCTATACTATATATTTATTTATTTTCTCTTGTGAAAATTCTCAGATGTGACAGTTTGTAGCAGTTAAAAGAAGCTATTAGCCATAGCTGTCCCTAGCTTGGGGGCTACAGCCTTAAAAGATACCGACTGTGTTGTTGACTGCAGCCTCGTCCTACTCACTGTGCGGCTCCAGCTGGCAGTTCTCTGAAGTGGTGTTTTCCCAGCTTCAGAAGCCTCTTGCCGTATTGGGGGTTGCATTAGCAGTGTGGGTCTTGGATACCCAAGCTGTTCTTTTTCTGAAAAGTTACGTTGGTAATGGGATTGCCTTTGTTTCTGCAGATACTGCAGCACGTGAGGGTCAGTAGTCCCTATATGCAATATTCCTCAATTAGAGCAGTTTACCTTCTGCTCCTTTGGATGTAAAATAATTTTCAATCCCAGTAACCTTGACAAGTTGCTGGTGTGCTTCCTGCTAGGAGGAACGTGGGCTTCCCAGTTGAATATTTGTCCCTCTGGTGACTTGTCTTTCACCAGGCTGTCTCACAGCAGCTGGTATTCATCTTCTAATCTTCTGCAGTTTTTACAGTGATTTGCATCCTACACACACTTAGCACTTTTAGTTACAGCTTGTTCTCATTATCTTTGGGAGGCTCTCCTTCAGCCAGGATTTATTGTGAAGTCTCTGTATTTTTAGGCTGGACTGTGCTGCCTCCGCAGTTAGCTGCAGACATGGAGGGAGGGGAGGGATGTTGTGAGTTCTTCCTCAGTGGTGGGGAGAGCTGGTGATTTCCTGGCAGGCTGAATGTTTCGCACAATGAATCCTTTCATTATGCTTCCAGGAACAGGGAGGATGCCGGACCAGCTTGTGATTCTGGATATGAAGCATGGAGTTGAAGCAAAGAACTACGAGGAGGTATGTCCCCTGGCTGCCTGCACTGCAGGCTCCCCTTTCCCAGCACTCACGTGATGCCATTTGTAGATCTGGGGCTCATGATGGGAAGCTGTTTTCCCAGCGGTGATGAAAGCCTGTCTGCAACCTACAATTCCAGTGAAGCTTTGTATGTTAGAGGAGAAAAAAGAAAGACAAACATCAACTAAAATTAATTCTGTACTCTGGGAACTGGAGCCTAATGTGTGAATTTCTTTGCTAGGATAACGTGACGCAGCTTCTGAGCATAGGTATTAGATGCAACAGGAGACTGAGATGTGAAGTTTTCCCAGCCCCAGCAGTGGAGGGCACTTTAGGTTAATATCAGATCCTTCTAAAGGTCTAGTTGCATTATTACTGTTCTTACCTTCCTGACTGTAAGATGTACTGGCTCAACAGTCCTGAAATGGCGCTTGTGAATTTCTAAGAACTAGCGGTGTATCAATGTAAAGGTGTTTGGCAGAGTAGTAGCTGGTGTGAAATGGGTATTTGGGTTGGAGGCATGACATTGCAACATAGGAGGACGTAGCTTTTTTAGAGCCAAGAAACAGATGTGTGGAATAGCAGTTGCTTTGTGGGTGGGACAGTCCTCTTAGTTCGGATGCTGAATTTTGATGGCTGCTACTATGCTTTTTGGCTCACTAGAATTTGGGGTCAGTCAGCCTCCAGCACAGAGCCTGTGCCTGAGAAAATGAAAGTTGTTGGCGGAGAAAGGTTCCTGCAAAGGATTGCTGTGTCCACTGCGCACAGCAGTGTGGGAGATGCCTCAGGGAGGAGAGTGGGTAGCAAAGGCTGCTTATAGTGCCAGTTAGAAAATGAACAAATTTCTGAGATGAGCATGCTGGAGCTTTTATATCCTTTTGAACTTTGGGGCTAGCTGGTCCTGCGTGGCTTAAGTCAGTCTAGAGCACATCCTACGTGGAGAATAAAAAAGCACTTGGGATCAGAGAACAGCAGAGCAATCACTGGGCCAGCTGTCTGGAAACCAGCTAAAGGATTACAAGATGTTGAAATCTTATGGGATGACCCCTGAGAGCGTAACTGGGAGGATTATGGTGACTACATTTACAGAGTCTCTTTAAATATAATTCCGCAGCATACTCTGAGTTATGTGAGCGTAGTGCTGCTTAGAAGCATTGTCCCTATGCAGAAAGAGTATCTTATGCCCGTATATCAATGTACTCATTGGTTGTACTGATAAAACTGTCTTGGAATAAAAGTAAGTATCCATTATGCTTGTCAGTGTAGTTAGATCGTTGGAAAAGGTCCATGGACAAACACGGGAGAAGAATTCAGACTTGCAGTCCCACCTGATACCAAATGCAGATCGTGGCAGTGCTGGCTGAGGACCTCTCAGAGGCAGACTGTTGAGCCTTGCTGAGCAGCATGTCTGCAAAGGACTCAAACTGGTTTACTGTTTGTACAGCTGCTGCGGATGTTTAGCTACACTGCTTTGCAGTGTGTTTTCTTTTTTTTAGCCTCTCTCTCCCCAGGTTGCTGTACTATTTGTGGGTTTTGACTTGACAGGTTGCTGTAAGGCCTCAGAGGAGAGGATTGTTGCTCAGGTTTCTCTCTTGCCTTTTTGAGCCTTTTGCTTCTGATGTTCATCTGCTGTAAGGTACCAGTGACCTGTTTTCCACCCCAGTTCTTCTTGTTGAACTGCTGCAAGGAGACTTGATGCAGGGAATTGGAACGAGGGTCACTGATACTGTCCTGCTTGTGAATGGATATATGCAGTGAGAGGAGGGGTGATGTCCAAGTCTGGCTTCATAAGCTTTCATGGATCCAGACGTTCTTGGAGCAGAGCAACTGGGAGAGTGTGCTGGGTTAGAAAACTTAACTGCATGGCAGTGTCGTACCTTAGTTCTCTGGGCTAGGGAGGAATAACTTTCTCCATTCAGTAAGTAGAAATGAAGGTAGGGAAAAGTGGAAGGACTTTTCAGAGAGCACCAAGAAGCCTTGGTGATCAGCTACTCCTTGCCAATTCTTGGCTATAGCGTATCTCTTTCTATGCTGGGAAGAGAGTTAGGCTTTGATGAATCTTTGAGTTGCCCCTGAGCAGTTCCGTGGAGTTGTTGTCTCGGTTGTTCTGGTGGTCCAGATGTTCCTTCTAGGATAATGGTGTTCCACCATCACAGATGTTTGGTGGGCTTTTTACAAAATCCCTGGGAGCAGCTGTGCACATTGGCATCGCTAAGGATGAAAGAGGTTCCAGGATGTGCATCTTGGAGTACATGCAGGACTGAAAGTAGCTATCAGATGTTTCTAGCTACACCTGTGAAGAGCAGCTGAAGGGATGCAGGATGGGGCAGACAAGCCTTGGTTTTTCCCAGTGGAACCTTTGTAGCCCTGCGTGAATGGGGAAAAGTGCCCTCCAGGAAGACAGAGTTAGCCTAGCTCTGTTAGACAGAGCTGCCTGAGACCTCAGGTGTGTTACAGACCTGCTGCTCTAGTTGTGTCAGCAGAGTCTGGGCCATCGGCACACGTACACTGGTGCCAGTTTTTCAGCAAAGCTCTGCTGGCAGGTATGTGTCCAGGCCACGGGGCTTTGTCAGTACAACCTATTGGCTAGAAAGCAGGAGGGGTTTAACTTCCCATTTCCTACACCTCCTCACAAATGCGCTTTGAATTGATGCTGTTGTGCTGGCAAAGCTGTAATATACAGCTCGCCTCAGCATAAAAATCCTCAGATGACTGCTTGAGGGCCTGCTGCTTGCCAGGATACGTGTGTCATGGGAAGACCCTTCAGTGAAATGGCTGATTAGCTAGTACCGGCCTGGTCATGAGCCCCTCTTCAGATGGGCTCTGACGCCCAGGCAGCTGCCTCTGGAAGCGGTGTTTCGGGAATGCCTGCACCCTGGGTGCCCTGTTGCTTGCCTGTCGGCACCTGGACCACTGAGGGATGCTGTCCTGCGGCTTATGTCTGTGTAATTCTGTGTGGTGGTGAGGCTGGTGGTGAGCTGCAGGTGCTTCATGTGTTACCTGTAGTTTTCTCTAGTGCATCTTTCTTCTGCTGCAGTAATTGGAGACGTGGCATCTGGCCTTCGTGGCTAGGGCCTGTCACTCATTGGTAATAGTGACAAACTCTACGCGAGACCCAGAGTTACCCAAACCCTGCGCTGCAGCAGTGGCAGGAATTGCAGTTAGCTTCCTTTGAGTAATGTCCTTGTGTCACAGATTTTACATAACGTGTAGTCAGGTAACCGCCAGGACTGGGGCAGGGACACGTGTTTATGTGTTCAACTTTAAATAGTTGCTGTTGTGGACTGTGCTTTCTGATTGAAAATTCCTGTGGATTTTTCTTTTTGGATGCAAACCTTTCACTTGTAGGACTATGGGTTGCATATTCTGCACAAAAATGATGTCCTATAAAACCAGCTTTTGTGAGGGAAGTGTATTTTTCTCTTTCTTTCACACTGGCGCAAAGGCAGCCTGTCCCATAAGTGTTCCAGCAGCGTCGCCTGGTGGCTTGAGGCAGATTGAGCACTTTGTAGCTGCGTGGTCCCTACCAAGAGCATCATGCTGCCCTTGAGGCTGTCAGTCTAATGACAAAAGCCCTGAGCTCTTGTGGGTGTAATCAAACCACTGCTATGGGGAGTCAGGCTGCCCAGGCTTTCTGAGGTGTGTGGTAACAGTTAGCAAAGTGAGTCTCAGTGCTAATATCCTGTATGCCTGTAGAGCAATATTGTATGCGTATGGAAGTTAGTCACCTGTATCTCAGCCTGTGACTTCTGTTCATTGGAGGTTTAGTCATGTGGCAAGCTCTTCTACCCACTCCTCAGAAGCCAACTGTGAATCAGCTAACATTAGGCCGAATAAGGAAGAAATGTGCTTGTATGCATACTGTGCTCCTCCGTTGTGTAGGAGGGGTAGTAGGAAAGTGTGTTTCAGAGAACAGGTGGGAGAAGTGATAGTGTTTTATGCAATGGTAGTTTCTGGCTTGTAGAGGTGTTTCCCTAGGGGAAGGATGCCCCAGATCTGTAGTATGTGATGAGGAGTAGTTCAAACTGGCAGTAAAAACCCATGTGGGAGCTTTTGGTTTTGGCTCAGTGGTTGCCTGACTTTTCTGTTTTCTAGATTGCGAAAGTGGAAAAGTTGAAGCCTCTGGAAGTAGAATTGAGGCGCCTGGAAGATCTTTCAGAGTCCATTGTTAATGACTTTGCCTATATGAAGAAACGAGAAGAGGAGATGAGGGACACGAATGGTAAGAGACTGTGTGCTCCTTCGGAGGGACGGACCTGTAAGACCCCTTACTTCTGCTGAATGTGGTATTAGGACAGCATTTGGAGATCAAGCAATTATAGTGGTCTCTGCCTGTTTTGTTCCTAGTAAGGGAAATCTGCTATTTTTCTCTCCTTCTGAAGTAGTCACCAAGTCTTGCGTGTCCCATGTCTAGAAATTTGTTTCTTTCTGTCTCCATTCCTAATGTGAATTACTCTGTACTATTTAATGTTGCCCATTAACCATAGTTTTGCCTTGTTTTGCCTCTCATTATCATTCTTGTTGTTCCCTCTGCTTTTATTCTCAAGTACTGCTAGTGCTTGGGTGCCCCTGCATTCATGCTGTATGATATCTTGCCTTTTGAAGTTTCGCAGGGGTGGGGAGAGAAAATCCTGGGAACTTTGCCCTCTTGAGGCACACCATGTAATGTCAGACATCCCGTGCAATGGTTTGTTGTCTGTTTCAGAGTCGACAAACACCCGGGTTCTGTACTTCAGCATTTTCTCCATGTGCTGTCTCATCGGACTGGCCACCTGGCAGGTTTTCTACCTGCGTCGCTTCTTCAAGGCCAAGAAACTGATTGAGTAAAGGAGCAAGTCCTCCTCTTTCCCCCCCCCCACCTCTCAGACCCAGCTGGACACCGCTGGGACCCAGCCATGGCCCCCTGGAGCCATCTCACAGATGATACCCACTGACTGGAGCTTTTCTGCAGATACTTGGACCCTAAAGGGGGAGGGGAGCCTAAACATCAGAGGCAATGGGGGACTTGTGAAATCCTGTTGGATGTTGAGGGTGGGAGAGGTTGTGATGGGTTTGGGGATCCTGGGGCAGTGATTAAATAATGTAAAAATAGATGTTCCCATGACAGCTGCAGCAAGTTTTTGCGCTGTCTGTTCTCTTTTATAAACTTGGCTTGATGATGTCTCCCATCTGTCTGTGACTGTAGTGTTACTCTGAGCCACTTGACCCTGCTGAGCTCTTTAGGTGCTGTGCAGGTAGCACCAGGGCAGAGCGGGGGATTCCCTGTTCTGACCAGCTGGGATCTAAGCCTCCTGGAAATGGAGGCCAGTGCAAAGCAATAGGATTCATCATTCCAGCAGGGCCTGAGGATAGAGGGAGGTCCAAGGTTTGGTCCCTGTCGTGGACCTCTGTGTTTCTCCCTGTGGGAGCTGGTGTCTTTGTGCTGACAGGTCAGGGCACTTGAGCATGGGTTGGTTCAGCCTGGAGGAAGGGGAGCCTTTGAAGGAGGGCTTGGGAATGTGTTTGAGCTTGGAAAGGGGAAGCCTGCTTTGCTCACCTAAGCTGTCTGGCCTTGGTCCCGCCCTTGCTCCATGTGTTTGTCTTGGATTTGCCCCTCCTGTTCTGAAATGATGCAGCAGTTTTCCTGAAAGCCTTGGTCAGGGATGGCCTTTTGTGCAGGCAGGAGGCCTCAGTCAGATACAGTCACAGAGCAAATAGGAGCAGGTTATGCTTGGAAACATGGTCTTTCATTGAGCAGGAGACTTTTCTCATCTAACAGTGTAGCATTTATCCAGTAGGCAGCTGGCTGAACCTCTTTTTCTGAGACCTCAAAGCAAGGTGGACTGCTGCTTGTGTGAAGCATGAGGGTCTGTGCCCTGCTTTGAGGTCTGAGGGCGCAAGGGGTGCTTTGCAGGTTGGCAGAGGAGTTGTAGGAAGAATGTGGATGAACTCAAAAAAGCAGTACAGAGTGGGAACATGGTAATGCTATGTCTGGGGGGGGGTCTGGACTGTGGCCTCAACAGAATTGTTATTCTGTGTGGTACTACAGAGAGAGCAAGCAGCTTCTCGTTTCTCAGCCATCCAGATGGCATGATGTTAAATAAGCCAGGCTGGGAAAAAAAATGGCAGGTTAACTTCCTGGACTTACCTGCTGCAGTTTTTAGGTAGTGATTAAAATGCTTTCACCTTCTCTGCGTTCCTTCAGAGCAAATGGTTCAGCCGCACAGCATTCTGGTGTTATGTGCCTAGACGTTTCTGGCCAGGGAAGGGGTTGTCATGGCCCTGGGCCCAGCCTACCATTTTGAAAAAAACATGGATTTATAATTTCTAACCTGAACCTGATCTATTGCTGGAAAGGAAACGGTTGTCCAGGGTGAGGCAATGGGAAAGAGGATGAAAAGGTGACCTGTCATCTAAATACATTAATACTTTGCCTCCCCTTTGCCATTGCCAAGTTCCTGGAGTTGTTAGTTCCACTGGCAAGTGCTTAGATTGCTTTTAATTTGTTTTTGATAAAGCCATGTTAAGAACCCAAGTCCATTCCTCTGCCCTTGCATCCATTTTATTCTCCTATGTTTTTGAAAGCTGTTACAGTGCAGAACAGCAGCAATGCCACAGGACTGAATTACAGATGTCATTTGAAGGTAGTTTTAGGTCCTACAGTTTGAAGCCTGTAGATCTGTTAAGGTTTTGCTTTTTTGTTTTTATGTAACTTGAAAAGACAGTACAAGAAAGGGTCTTTTGCAGTCTTGTCTGTTTTGATATCCTCTCCCCGTCCTTATCTGAGTACAAAGATACCTTTATCTTAAAAATGGTGGTAAGGCCCGAAGTCCCCCAGGTGACTGTTACACTGTCATCGTTCTGGTGTCATGTTTTGATCTTCACTGTACTGGTATGGTTACTGGGGAGCAGGTGTGGGGGACTGGTATGGATTTACCTGTAATGACTGGTTGGGGGATTTTTGTCAACTTTCTCAAATAAAATTTCTTTGGGGAAAAACAACCCATCTCAGTTGTCCGTGTGAGTCTTTTCCTCTCTGTGCACATTCCTACTGCCTGCTGTTTCCTGCAAGCTGACCTGTTGCAAGAAGCAGCAAATACACAGACCCCCTGCGAGCCCTTGGGTTTTTCTAGTGAAAGTTAATTTAGAAAGAATTTGAGAATTCCAGGCACTGGAAAGGTACCGGCTGTACAGGCTTCTCTGTGGGACCAGCACAGCAAGCGAGATGTCTGTAATACAGGTTACCATTTGCTGCCTTTCTTCCTCATCCTTTCCTAACTATATCCCTGTATGTTGAGGAATTTTGAGGCTGAGTGTGAAATAAGGCTGGTGCTCTAGAGCACAAGATTCAGTCTTTCACTGTCGGCTCCCAAGTAAAATTTAGTTCATTAAGACAAATGGAATTGCTTTCAGTTTTGTGCTTTAGAGGAAATTTTAAACTGTCGCAAAGATGAGTTGGTCCTACGTGAGTGACAGATGCTTACTGAAGAGTGGTTAGGTATTTACCCAACTGCTGTCAGGTCTCCTCTGCTGAGCCTGCGAGCCTTTTGTCATGCAGTAGCAAGATATGCCACAAAACAGACTGTGGGCACATAAGTGCTACATAACTAGTTAGTATTATCAGGGAGAATTTAAAGAGGGGAAATTCCCAGATCTTTCGATAGGGATTGGCCTCTGCAAGTTCTTGCCTGGATGAATACTTAAGTATGGGAAATCGTACAGCTGTTCTCATGCGGTAGGTTGGCAGTGGGTCTGGGCTGTTCCAGAGTACTGCGGATGCAGAGCTGGTGTCTTCGTTCCATTTTACTTCTGGGAAATGGGCTAAAGTTGAGCTGTTGCAGATACTTGGGTCTGAGCCCATCTTTGTGTGTGACAGATGCATCGCTGGTAAATCTATAATTGCCTGTAGCAAACTGCATCAGACGTTTCCAGCCTCTTCCACCCACTTGTCAATGTGACTAACGATGTAATTATCACACTACTTAACACAGCGCGTGAGCATTCCTAAGTAAGGTATATCTTCGTGTATTCTCCCTCCTGCTATGCCAACGTAGGCTGCACCCTGTACAAAGTGTCTGCTGCAGCTGCTGTGTGCGTGCACACGTAGGGGGATGAGCATTTTACACACTGTTGCTCATTTCTTACAAGCTGTTCAGGTATGTGAGAAATAATCCAAGTGTACAACACCTGTGTTGTGTCCTAACTGGCAGATTGGGGACTTTCGACTCAAACTAGTTTGGCAACTGGTTAGCAACATCATTAGGGGATTCCTGCCTGTGTGTTTCATGGGGTCCTACAGCAGAGGTTTGGGAAAGCAGTGTGGCCTCTCTTCACCCCTGCCAGTTCATGTGATGTATTTTTGTCTCATATCTTCAGCTGTGTCCCTCCAGTGTACTTGTCTTTCAGAGCCTGAGATGGCCTTGCCCTTAGCAAACAGAGTCTGTGGGAAATGAACTTCCCATATGCTCAAGGTGGCTTGTTGGGAAGGAGAGAGTGCAAACCTCAAATAGATACATCTTTCTCAGGAGATAAAACGTTGGGTCTGGTGAAGACTGCAGGAGTTCAGGGTTGGTAGTTTTGACTGCTGCCTCTTCTCCACCTGAAAAAATTGTCAGGCTTGTGCTTATTCTGTTGTTCCTCCCCCGAACCACGGCTGGTGGTGGTGTGGTGGCTCTGGCAGGCCTGCCTTTCTCTGAGGCAGGTGGAAGGAGCAGGGGATTTAGAAAAACTGCCTGTTGGCGTTTCTTGGACCTGTTTGTAAACCTGAAACAGGCGAGCCCAAGCTTTTGCTGCAGCACTAAAATACTTGTATTTGCTCAGCAGTGTTTGTAAGAAGCCTCTTTTGCTTTGCACTGGAAGTCTATGGCACTGGCAGAGGAACTGGGAGTTGCTGTGTTTCAGCTGCAGCTGAAGTGACTAAACTTTCTGCAAAATGGCAGTAACGGATGCCTGATTGCTCTTCTGTTGCCAGAGGTCCGTGTGGTTTATCGCCTTAAACTCAATGCATTAGCTTCTGCACGTTCAGCTTGCTGACACAGCCTGCCAGAGGACCTGTGGTTTCCAGGTGTCTGTCTCAGTGATCTTTGCTATGAGGATCATTTGTTTGGAGAAAGCTGCTGTGTCCTGAAGGAGCCATCTGACTTGTATATCAGTTTTTGCAATAAAATGTACATGTTGAATAACTTCCTTTGGGGGCACGTTACTCAAAAAAGGCAACGACAGAACCACGCTCACATTGCTCGGTCTCACTTCTGTGGTTTCCTGTCACTTAATGTCCTTTCATAGCTGATATTCCCGAGGTACCTTTTCCCTGAGCTTTTAAATCAGTTGCATTATGTGATCTTTGCATAAGCTGCACCAGGAGGTTCTGTTGGAATTGTAATGAGATGCACTTGTTTCTTCTTGGTTGTTTGGGGGATGCTGTTCCTACAGCCGTGGCAGGCAGGGGGGAGGGCGTGCTTGTGTTTTCCAGCTATATCCCATTGCAGCTCTGCTCTGATCTGCTGCGGAGCTTTACCCTCTGGGGTTTTCTAACCTGTACCAGCTGCTCGGTCTTTTATTTCCCCCTGAATATACTTTGTTTGCATAATCTTCCCCCAGGTGAGGGATATTTGCTATACATATGTAACTGGAATCTCATGGTGTTACCTTCTTAATTATAATTAACCATGTAGATGCCTTGTCATTTCTTCCTTCTCAGTGTGGGCTGCTCTTTCCTTGTGTTAGTAACGTAATTGATGTACTGTCTTGACTCTGAAAACCATAAATGAGATCTTTGAACTAAAGCAGTTACTTGCTATGATTTGGTTTAAATGACAGTATTCCTACCCTTATCCAAATTCATCGTTCAGTAACAATTTTGCAAGAGGCAGAATGGCACGTTGCCTCTAGGTGGTGTGTTTTCTTTACATGCTGCAGTAAAAAATTCAGTGTAAAGTCAGGTGTATTTTCTTCAGTAATATTCCAATAAACCTGAGCGGGCAGCAGCTGTTACTTCCCTCAGGGTCACCTTGCCCTGAGAATTACTGCCCTGCTTTTTAAAGCGTAGTAAAGGCAACACTGTGGTATGGCTAAACCTGATTGTAGCTACTACTGTGATCATTTTATGGAAGAATTTGTATGATACTGAAGATAATGGGCAAGATAACTCTACTTTTCAAATCGGAAAAATGAAGATTGAGTTTTTCAGTTAGTCTTCTGGTTTTCTACAGCTGTTCCACATTCCTTAATCCCATTTCTGTGAGATTTTGCCATCTAGATTTTTTAAAAAAATATTATTTGCTAGATGACATTTTGCCAGGTACTCCCCTTGCAGTGGAGGGAGTGAATGATCCTTAGCAGAACATGTCTGAGCTTTTTCATGTGTTCCTGCAAGCTCCTTTATTCTAAAACTGACGTGCTGCCTTTGCTGCTTGGAAGGATGACATCTTTGTATGGAAATAGTTACGATGCACAGCAAATAAACTTTGAGTTAGTCACTTTTAAAATAGGTGTGTGTAATGCTGAACAGCTTTTTAACCCTCACCACATTGCAAGGAACCCCACTCGTTGTTTCATGCTCTGAGCAGTAAAACATCTTCTCAAAGTAGTGGGATAAGAGCTAACCAGGCTTTGTTGTAGCTGGTTTTAGGGATTTGTGCTTCAGCTCCTGATGTCTCCGATAAGTGTAGGATCATCTGTCCTGAACTGAACATTCCTCATCGTTCAATTCCGCTTTCCCGTCTGTGTCTATGACTGCTGAACTTCGGTGACAAAATCTTAAAATGATGGTGGTGCGCATTATCTAGGAAGAAAACAAATCACTTCCCTAAGATTAAAGTTGCTAATACTTCCTTATGGCAGAGAAGTTATTACTGATCCAGATCTAAAATGCTATTTATGATGCTTTCAGCTTATTTCGTCTTGGTTAGAGAGGAATGCCACGAATGACGAGTGGCACGGTAAGGGACGCTGCTACGCTTCACTAGTGGTGTGACACGCGTGTCCACCACAGCTGCCCTCATCCTTCCAGCACATCTTTGAGCTTGGGATACAGTTGTGTTTACCGCTGTGTTCTCCCTTGGAGCAATTATTTTTCAATAATGTGTATGAGATGTAGTACAGTTAAGAAAGAGTTAACATCTGTGCAGTAAGAAACAGTAATGACTTTTTTGGTATCAGTTACTTCAGACAGTTATTACCAAAATATAATTTTAAAGCTTTTTGGGAAAATAACCTTGAATTCTTGGGAAGTAAACTAACTTCTCTGCCATGTGCTGAGGCAACTTCTGTTTTACACAGGTTTTACTAGGCACTGGGTTGGAAGAAGA